TGCTATATGATTTATAGCTAGATAAGATAGTATCTATAAATAGTCAAGCTCACACTTGCTTAGCAGATTAATTAAGAGAGTATTTATATAAGTTAATTCACAAAGTAAAATATATTATTATTATAGATAATGATCTTAATAATCTTAATATAAAATAGATTAAATCACTTTGAAAGAGTAAGCAATTTTTAATATCTATAATACTTATTAGCTTTAAAAAGATAAATTATTTTATTTAGCTTCTAATAAAAAAATATTATTAACAGAACTCTGAAATTAGACAAGAAAAATATCTGTATTGAAATCTAAAGAACAAAAAAGTATATCAGTTATATGTCATTTTAAATATAATCTAAAAAAAATTATTTGCACTCTTAGAGATAATTTTTTAGAATTACGTATTAAGAAGTATTATAATAAATTTGATCTTATTGAGAAAGTATAGAATTTTAGTGATGTTAAAGAAATATGGAAAGATATTAATATAGTAATATATATCAATATGTTAAAAATAAAAGTCTCATGTACTAATTCCAAGTTTGAGTGAATATTTTATCTTTTCAAAAGTAATATAAAAATAAATACTAGGATAAATTAGATACTATTTCATATAAGATATATTAAAGAGTATATATATTATATCAAATAAAGATTATTAAATCTTCTAATTACAAAATAAGAATTATTTTACTGATTATTAAAAGCTAAGCGTGAATATCTTTCTCAAGAATTTCAGAATAGAAGTATATTTCTGAATATAGAATCAATTATTCAAAATAAAAATATTTTAACAGTTTGATTATAAATTGTCTATATATTAGAAAAATTCTAATTCTACCATCTATTAGATAGAGAATAATTAATTTTCTCTAAAAGATAAGAATATTGATTAATATACTAAACTCAATATTATTATTTAAAAATATAGAGAAAAAATTAAATTCATTAAAAAATAAAGTAGATATATATTCTATAGTTTGTAAGATGAAGATTAAAAGAGAAATGACAAATGTTAATATTATTAATCATAAAATAGCTAAGATTCTAGAAAATAAATCAAAAAAGACTTTAAAAAAGATATAAGCTTTAAAATGATTTCATATAGTAGAATATTATAGATTACTATCTGAATTTTTAACAGAGATATTTATTATAAATTATGATAAATATGATAAAATAAAATAATTTAGAAATTTTCAAAAATTATAAGATACAAGTACTAATAATAAGATAATAGTTGAGACTATTATCTGTAAAAATTATAGAAATGATAGACATATAACTATTATTCAAGCTGAGAAGTATCAAATTTATCTGGAATTACTAAAGACTTGTACATCTGTTAAAGATATTGATGATAGAAATAGTTATAAAATAGATAAAATTAAAGTATATTTAAACTTGTCAGAATCAATAAAATATCTTTAGAATTTAGTATCAAAAATGACTTGAGTTTTTAATAATACAGATATATCTCATAGTACTAAAAAATCTGATTTAAAATCTGATAAGACAAAACTTGATCTATTAAATTTAGTACTTTTTGCAACTTATAGAATAAAACTTAAAACAAGTAATAAAAAAAATAGTCATTATTATCTAATTAGATTATTCAATAGTATATATATCTCAAAGTTATTACCATATCAAATAGATAAAGAGTAATTTTATAAAAATAATAAGAATACATATTATAAATATAGTAAACTTTTATTCAATGAAATAAAAATTCTAAATTCTATTTTATAAATTATCAGAATTTAATTAATATATATTATTTAAGCTAAGTATTTATTTAACAAGACTCTGTAATATATTATATATCTTATAAAGAGAATTTTTGTGATACTTAAAATTAATACTTATAAAAAATATCCTATTATAAAGACTATTTTTATGATACTTAAAATCAGAATTTATATAATTATTTATCTGCTTTTATTTTTTACACTTTTTGTTTCTCATATTAATTTTGAAAATAAACTCTTTTTATATACTTAGAATAATATCTTGTATCAGAAATTATTTGTTCTTCACAAATCCCATAAGAAAATTTTGTCATATTTTTATCAAATAATTTTTAATATAATGAGTATCTTATATCTTATCAATAACTTTTTTTACAAATTAAATTATCTCTTTTAATATATGAATAGGTTGAATATTTCAAACTCTCTTTTTTAATATATTAATAGATTAAATTTTCTATTCAAAGTATTTTAATATATAATATATAAAATCAATTTCACTTTTTATATGAATATATTTAATATAAAACTAATTTAAATCCCATCTTCTTCTATTCAAAATCAAAAAACAGATAATATTACTGGAATATATATATCTTTTTTCTGAGAGATAAAGAAAATTAATTTAAACTTTTTCAAATTATTTATAATCAAACATATATTAATACTATATATACTATATATCTAATAGAAATATCTTAGAAAATAATCAACTTATTAATCAAAAAAGATTGATTATAACAGACTAATATTTCATAAATTAATATGTAATAGTTTTAAGTATGTCAAAGATTTGTCAGAGTTTTTATAAGTTTCAGATAATATAAATTATTATTATCCTGAGTAAATTAGATTCATGAATATTCTATTCCATCTAGCTATGATATCTCTAATTAATATAATAGAAAACAGACTTAATATTTATAAAAAATAATTTATAAATATAGAAAAATATCAGAATTTATTGTAAGTATTATAAAAATTAAAATGAATTATAAATCTTAATATAGTTAGGATCATAACTTTAAAACTATATATATTACGTATATACAAAGTAAATTTTTTTATTATATTTTATATATTGATAATTTTCAAATTGATAAATCAGATCTAATTCAAGATATTAATATATATTATATATCTGATATATATAGATTATTTTTCCAAAATCTTTTTAAGTAATGTTATATTCTTTTTAATCTTATTAATATTTTTAGTAATTTTATTATATAAAGCTATAAATTCTAAAACTTTTAATCTATTTCATATCATATTTATATTTATTTTCCAATAAAATTACTCTAATATAAATCCATTCAATTTTGGATATAGTTATACTAATTTATGAATAATTAATTTCAATTTGAAAAAATATTTTTCATAATTATAGTTCATACAAATATTCTAATCAATAATATTAAAAGTTATAATAAATTTCATGAATTAGTATAACTTAACTCCTCAGATAAGTATAGCTAAACTTGATAATTATGTTGAAAAAATATGTAAAGAGATTAAAGATTATAAAGCCTGTAATTATGCTCAAAATAGAATTCAGAAGTTAAAGTTTAGCAAAGATCAAATATATATTTTAATTTCTATTCAGACTTTTAGAAGGTGTATTACAAGATGAAATCTGATTAAGAAGCTCATTTAATATATTAAGAAAAATAAAAATAAACTTGAATTCAAAGAAATAAATATATTAGTATATAACTTAGTTAAAATAGCTCCTATCATAATAGTCTAATCATTATGTCTTAAATTATTCTGAAAAAAATTACATAATTTTAATATTAAATATCTTACAATAGAAGTAATATATATTTGATATTATTCAAAAATTAAATAAAGAATAAGTAATAAATTAGAAACTCTGTGAAGATAAGAATTTCAACTGTTTAAAATTCTTTTATCTGGAAAATATTCAGGAAAGACTTAGTAAATGTGATATAACAAAACCATTCTCTATGCAAAATTTAATTGATATAATGATAATATTATATATGAGACTAGCAGATGTGAAAAATCTCTGTATCAAGTATTATAAAGCAGATATTATTGAATGATATAATCCTAAATATTCTTGAATATGCCAAAAATAAAAAAGACAAATCTAGACTATTAGTATCTATAGAGAAAAATCTGCTATTAGCTAGAGAATTACTTATTTAGATTCAGAAAGCAATTCCTAATAAATTTTCATTTTTAATAAGAGATAAAAATAATAATGTAAATGTTCATCTAATTAATAATTTTCTAGTAATTCATAAAATAAGCTCATTATATTTGAGAAAAATTAGTTCTGAATATGTTATTATTATTCATGAAAATAAGAATGATTCTAAATGTAAATATTTCTATCAATTAGTATTAAGACACAAGATAATTAATATCATATCAGATTATTATGATATAATGAATAACAGACCAAATATTCCAGCATCTAAACAAGAAAATAGTAAGATTAAAGATATTATCAATTTATATAGAGAAATTTTTGATGAAGAGAACTAATCATACTTTGCTTTCACTATATTTATAGCAAAATCTTCATCATTAGACCATTCATAACTAGACCCAGATGAAGATGAGGATGAGAACTCAGATGCAATATTATTTAAAATTTTCTTTTTTCTCTGACAATTCATTTCACTTTGTTCATTCATGGTTGGTTTATATATTCCAGAAAACAAATTATCAGTAACTATAATCTGGCTTCAAGTTCAAAGAACAAGAAAGCAGGATCTTGCATGGTATATGATTTCTTTAAGAAATATTGGGATTTACTATTAAATTTAAAATATCCTGCTGAATCTTGGATTTCACTATCTCCAGTAATTGGTGAAGAGAGATCCAGATTTTTTTACCTGATACTTGCTTAACAATGACAGATACCACTTTATCAGTAATATTGGGTAAATTTTTATCTTTTTCAAAATCCAATTTTTTTGCAACCTCATAAGTGATAATTAGATATTCTGAACCCGAATCAATTACACTCTGTTGCTTTAACATTGCTTCAAATTTTTTACAGACACTTTGTATTGTCTCAGGATTATCAGCTTCAGTCATTGTAATAGTTAAGTTATTTTATAAATACGAATTTAAAATGCAGAATTAAATATATTGTTATAATAAAACACCACGTTGAGAAGTTTATCTTGCGATGTATAGTAGATAAAAAATAAATATAACAATTAAATAAAAAAATTTTAGTTAATAAAATCCACACGTTTGAGAATACACAACATGCATACATATAACCCACTTACACTTCCAGATACTATTGCTGAAATCGTCTCAAAACTTCCATTAGAGGATCTAGATAACTGTATTCAAATTAACCGCACATGGTATAAAGAAATTTGTCATGAGCTTTATAAGAGGCGTAAAAATTTTAATACAAAATACTATGATTTATTGGAGAAACTAGATAGATGCCATAGAAAATCGGATATAAATGATAATGAAATTGAGCCTATATATAATAATGCATTAATAACATTTGATGAGCTCGTAAAAGTAGAAAGGTATATATTAAAAAAAATATGATCTTTAGTAAAAGAATTAGAAATGCGATATTGACCAATATTGAAGAAGATAATTATGGAAACCCATTAGATTCATATAATTTTGGAGAAGATGCATTCGAATACATAAAATATCTCTTCCACGTATATTAGAAAAAATATAAATAGATATTTAACAAATTTTATTTATTTAATGTAGAGAGAAGAAAGCCGACCTACCCATCTGCCATATATTTTTTTTTCGGTTGGCTATTTGATCGAGTTTACATGCTTCGATTCCGGATAATAGAAACGTATTACGTAGACTCGAAGAGCCATTGCTCTGCAATAGAAATACTTTTTCCTGTTCTAATATAGCGAGCCTAGTCTCAAGCTCTATATTCTTTTGCTCTAATTCCTCGACTCTAACATCGCGCTTT